CCCAGTAGTGGTGTGAGTGTAATTGAGCATGTCCACCCAGTAGTGGTGTGAGTGTTATTGAGTATGTCCACCCAGTAGTGGTGTGAGTGTTATTGAGTATGTCCACCCCGTAGTGGTGTGAGTGTTATTGAGCATGTCCACCCAGCAGCGGTGTGAGTATTTTGAGCCTGGAGGGCATAGTACCAGGTTTCCTGTCTGTTATATATATAACTTTCCCTACATCCATTTTTTGTATATTTAACAATATTGTATTTTATATTGTGTCTGTTATTTTACCTACAAGTATCTACCGCTATTTCTTCCCTATTACTGATAATTATCATTAAGACATGTACCCATGAGCCTCTCCTCGTCAATACGCCAACAATGCCAAGTATTAAAGTAAAAATTGTTATAAGAGTGCAGCCCTTATACAGATCATGAATTGTATGCCATTTTTATTCCACATGATGTTTCCTCGTAAATTACTTATATTACGGGAATATCCTCCCAAGACAGGTCATCGACCCAATAATGGGTCCTGATGGGGGCGAAAAAGCAGGAGTAAATAATAAATAGTAATTGCAGAAGAAAAATACTCTGTTAATCTACACCACGAAGATGTCGAAAAACCAACTTTTCGAAGTGAGACAGATTATAAGAGGATGAAAACACAGAAGGCAAAGCATTCCACAGTTTGGCTCTGTGAGGAAAGAAGCATGTACTATAACGGGTTATTCTAGTGTGACCGACATCCACAGAGAAACGGTGGGCAAAACGGGCAAGACGTGTGTTACGAGCCCACTGCCTTGGCGGCGGTACACAGGATACCTGTCAAGGGTTTAGATGTTAACGCCCTCTGGTTCTTTTAAAGATTATTTTCAGGTGGAACACTTTCGCTTGCACCCAGGATATTGAACAAGATTATGGATATTTATAACAAAACTTGTCTATTTACAATTATTTACGGTGATAATCGGCAGAAGACAGTACAGAACTAAACATCAAGAAGAAAGTAAAAGATTTCACTGAAAGTTTATAAATGGTTGGGTGTTGGACAAAGAAAAAATGACAATTCTTGGGCTGAAGAGCCAAGATCAAGGTCAGAGGTCAGTGATATAAGCTTGGGTCATAAGTTGGGGTTAGGATGAGTGTTGCTGTAACGATAATGTTCACTTTGGAGCTGATTAGTAATAACCTATTTCTTAAGAAGGTTTCAGAGACAGTTAGTGTTCCGTGCTGCGACACATCAAAGTGATTTGATTTTAAATTTTGGATTTTTTGCGGCGAGGAACACGGAGAGCTTCTGTTAATTTGTGTACCCAGTCCTAGATGTGACACATCACATTTGAAGCCGATCGTGCAAATGGTTCAGAAATTACAGGTTCGACGCCTCTCAGCTAATCAGTAGCCAAGAAAGAAGAAAGTCATCAGATTGTTTCCTATATTAACCACTTCTGGGGAATTAGAGACACTGAGAGGAGGAGTTGTAAAGCATATTCCGATGTTGGTGACAAGTAACTATATAAGGTAAATGATTAATACAGCAAATTCCAACACGTTGCTCCCACCTCACAGCCGTGAAGCATCAGTATCACGTGAAACCAGCTGACGCGACCATTACCTTGATGAAGTTGACACAGGTAAGCCCAACACCCCCCTGGGCTGTTCCCGGGCGCCACGCCTCACCACCACCACCAGCCTGGGTCCCATCACCAGTCTCATATCTTTGCTGCTGCCACTAACACCAGCCTGGGGCCCAGGGACCCCCAGCTTGGCGTTTACCCTGACTAAACAGGCGCGGTGCACCATGAAGGTGGTGAATGTTTTCTTGACAGCTATGCAAGTTTTTTCTTTATTTCCGTTTTATAAGAAGGAAAATGCACAATCTTTTACTCTGAGCAAACTTCTATTGCTGTGGTGCGTCTTGAACTGTGCCGTGTACTGTGCCGCAAGTTTAGCTATGCTCTTCGTGCCTCCTAAACAAATCCACTACAGCAAGGAGACTGTCATGGCATCCAGCCTCTGGAAATACATGTGGATAGCGATGGGTCTTTCAAGAATCACTGCCATCTTAAAGAGCCCAGTGTTGGCAAACATCATCTGTCGAGTGGAGCGGATTCGATCACTTAAAAGAGTTCACATGAAGTGTACAAAAGCAGACGTTCTCATCTCTATTGCGGTACTCATATTATTATCAGCAAATCTCAACGAAATTTACAAATTAGTGAATCTAATGATTAAGCAAAGTCAGGAAAAGAAGGAGTGGTGGCTGTTGATGCCGTTCTTTTTGTGTAATGTTTGTGGACTGATGAGTCACTTGCTGGCCCCAGCGATGTTCTGTGTCCTCAGTCACCACCTGACGCGCGCCCTTCACTACACTGTGCCGGCCCTTAATGATCCTGCTTGGCAAGATCTCTCTCTATCGTGTGAAGAGAGAAAAACTTCCCTTATACGAGTCCTTACACGTAAACGTGAATACAATGAATCTGTAAGTAGCGACATTCATCCATCTACATCGAAGACCTGCTCGAAGATGGACTTCCTGGGTGAGGCTGAGAGTCTGCTGTTAGACGTGGACGAGACTCTTTGTGACTTACTGGAATACATCGGGTTTTACCTGTTATTCATGTTGGTGGCGATGGTGATGGCCCTGATCGTCATGCTGTTCATCTTCGTGGAGAGCATCGTGCAGGAGGAGAGCACCAGGTGGCAGCCACTGGTCATATCCCTGGTGTATGGTGTGGTCTTCCTCTACCTCAATACTACCGCTGACGACTTCAATGATGAGGTTTGTCTACAGATTGTCCAGTAATCACTTTATCTATTCACTGATGATGCCTTACTTCATCCTAAGTCCTTCCATTTCTATGTTTCATTTCCCGCACGGTCGTGACAAACACTCAACCGATTTGTCTCAGATTTTATACTCGCACTGCTTAGCGTACCAGTTAGAAATGAGAAAAATACTGTATAAAATTACCAACAACACCATTAACACCCAAAACACCACCACCACCAACAACACTAATAACAACAGCACCAAAACCACCACCAAGTACACCTGACCTATGGGGCCCCTGATCTGTGAATGACACGCAGTTCAACATGTAGACACGAGTTTGATGCCCTCGAGTACTGCCAACAGAGATTTGGACAATTTTATAATTTATAATTTATGAGATCACCCAGATTAAATCGTTGATAAGTAACTGATATCAAGTCCTTAACTCGTGGTAGGGCAGAGAGCAGGAGGCGGGATATTCGTCCGTCAGTCCGGCCATCTTGTGAACTTGAAGAAACAAATATGGACATCGATAAAATTTGGTGGTAAGAAAATGCTAACCAACTCAACCTCAAACTTGTTCTACATTCAATAAAATAATAATGTTCTCGCTAAAGGAGAGTTATGGCACTTTTTTTTTGGCGGGGGGGGGTATGGACTCTGGATCCTAGGGCCAATGTCTTAATTTGTTTAAGCCAGTGGTCCCTAACCTTTTGAAGACTCTGGGCCACATTTATTATTGTAAATGTAGTGGAGGACGACAAAACTTGGGATCTACAATTAAGAAAAAAAATCTCATATATACTGTACAGTTATTAGCAGTTTTAAACGTCTAACTGTTACCAGTCACATACTTTTTACATTTACTCTTGGACAGGACGTGTGTATTTACCCCAGTGAGAAGGCTGGCTCTGTCTCTGGGCCCGGTCTGGGGTAAATACACACATCCTGTACACGACAGTTGTATCAAGTTATTTCAAAGTATCCCAAAATCATTCACCGTTTTCTAATAAACCCTCGCGGGCTCCATAATATGGTTCCGCAGGCGCCCGTGAACTACAGGTTGGGGACCACTGTGTTAAACCATCGTCATCAAAGGCTTATTACTGTAAAGTCTGTAAGTGAGTCTAGGTGAAGGATGATTGTGTCAAAGTAATACAGAACAAACCAACTGCCCAAACGGCTAATAAGGTGATAAGTGGTGAAATATTAAGTGAAATGTACTCTTACCTCTCCCGGGTGTGACCTGACAGCGGGGGCGGTGCGCGGCGAGGTACAGGCGGCTCCTACAGCTGGATCCTGGACTACAGGAGGACCCCAGAGTGAGTACTGACTGACCTTGTTAGTTATAAGAAACAAGTAAATGAATAAGTATACAGTACATCCAAATTCATAAAGAAAAAACAAGGATAAAGTACAAAATAATCTGTCTACTCTTTATAACAAGATATCAAACAGGTTTTCTTTGTAGAAAATCTTGAAAATACAAAATAAAGTCAAATTCAATGTCTTCTATACGGAAGAAAAACCCGACCACAACATTTTTTTTTCTGGGCAGGAAATAATAAATTAAGGTAAATAATATTTCTTCTTATCACCTGGATGGTGGGAGAGATATACTGCCCTACAGGTGTCAGTACAGGTGTGCCCCCTACAGGTGTCAGTACAGGTGTGCCCCCTACAGGAGTCAGTACAGGTGTGCCCCCTACAGGTATTCCGCGTCTTGGGTATGCTGGAAAGGAGGCAGGACTTCAGCCTGGCCGGGTTCGTCTGTCTGGGTCGTTACAGCGTGGCGACCGTGAGTCTCTCTCTGTCTGTCTCTCAGTCTCTCTTTCGTGTGTGTGTGTGTGTGTGTGTGTGTGTGTGTCCCTTATTTTTTCTCTCTCTCATGTGCTCCATAAACTTACCTAACTTAAGCAATAAACTTGGAACCCATTTGGTGTTGGATTAGTACTGGGTCTTTATCCTGATGGTTATGTTAGGCTGGGGTAGGTTGTCTTTGATAATGGTTAGGTTAAGTTGGTTAGGGTTAAGTTATATATGGTTGCCTTTTGAGATTGTCTATATTTTAGATTAGGTTAGGTTAGGTTAGGTTAGGTTAGGTTAGGTTAGTTTAGGTTTAGAATAAGATTATTTCCCCCCATTATTTCCTCCCTTTGTACTGATTGTTACTGACTCCTGTTTCTCTCTCCCCCATTACTACTAGACCACAAGTTTTATCATATCTTACGTCGTCATCGCTATGCAGTTCCGGGGAGGGTGACCGGTGCGACGTCTGTGGGTCACTCATTAACACCAAGTGGTCCTCAGCTGCTCTGTATAGTGTCGTGTTACATGTTGCTGTGTACCCAAGAGAGCCAGCAGTGTACGTTGTTATTACCGATATTATTTTGTACATATTTACAGACATACATATATTAGACACGTACACATCTACATATACACATCACACACACACACACACACACACACACACACACACCTTTCTTTCATAAAACATGAAATATAATTCACTTCTAACCTTCACCTAAACATTAAGTCATACAAGACCTCAGAACCTAACCTAACCTAACCAAGCACAAGTCACTAACCCTCATGTAAACACAGGACTTCATTATTATCTATGTACCTTTTACAACATTTCTCCTGATATGCGATTGGCCAAAAAAAAAAAAGTTATACAAACAAAATAAAAATGTATAATGAATCTCTTTTTGTTAATGTGGTTCCTTCACGATTCATTATTCAGTATTATTAAAAAATAACCAATTCTATTATATTTTTATTATGTTCAACACAACTCCTATAATGGGTGTTTATTATGTTATATGGTCAGAAGCCACAGAGGGTCGCGTTTGTGTGTGTGTGTGTGTGTGTGTGTGTGTGTGTGTGTGTGTGTGTGTGTGTGTGTGCCAACATGAACTTTATGCCTAAATGTTACTTGTGAAAATATAATAAGAAGTAATTTTCTCTTTTTCTCTCTTCGTCTGTCTATCTCTCTTTTGCTCTCTCACCTTTTGTATTTAACTTTCTCTTTCTCTCTCTCTTCTTCTCTTCTCACTCGTAATCTTTTTCTCTTTCACTCTTTCTTCTTAAAGTTTTCTCTCCGTCTCTATTTTTTTTTATCTCCTCATCTCAATCTCTCTTTCTTTCTTTATTTCCTTATTCGCATTCCTCTCTCCCTCTCTCTTTCCCGTTCTCTCTCTCTCCCACTTCCATTCTTTCCTCCACCTCCCCTCTCTCTCTCTCTCTCTCATCTCCATCGTAAACTGTTCTTGCATAAAAAAAATAGTTCCCCACGTCACCTTTCCCTCCCTCCACTCCTCTCCCCTCCCTCTCCTCCCTCCTCCCTCCCTCCCCTCTCCCCCCTTAACCCCTTAGGTACTCTCTCTCTCTCTCTCTCTCTCTCTCTCTCTCTCTCTCTCTCTCTCTCTCTCTCTCTCTCTCTCTCCTCCCTGTTTTCATTTTTCTTTTCTTTCTTTTACTCTCCCATTTTTCCTCTCACTTTACATTCTCACTTTTATGACGAGAAAAGGAAATGAAAAATATAATGAAAATTGACAATAAAAATGTAAAAGAGAAATAAAGGAAGAGAAACAAAGAAAGGGGGGAAAAATAAGGGAAGAAACTAAAGAGGAAATTAAAATAAGAGGAAAACAAGAGAATGGGAAAAAATAAAGTCAAGCAACAGCAAATAAAAAAAAGAAAATATTAACTATAAACAAAAAAGATAAAGAAAGAAGAGCGAAAGAAAAACATAAATTAAGAAAAAATACAGAAATTAGTCACAGAGTCAATCAATCAAAGTACCTTCTTCTTATCTGAGGGTTGGCGACCACAGCCCTACATTTATGGGCTGTTTTTACCAACCCTATAAGAGTTTGTATTTCTGTGGGATCTAGTTTTTAATGTCATTCCTCCATCTCAGTCTCTACCTTCCCCCGGCCCTCCTACCTTCAACTTTACCCATTAATGTTTCTGTTATTATCCCCTCAACCCTAATTATGTGACCAAAGTATTTATTTTTTTTCCTTTTCTGTACATTTTAAGCATTTCGCATGAAGTTTTTAATAATCTTAGGACTTCATTTGTTTTCCTCACAGTGTAGCATATTTTTAACATTCGGCTATAGCACCATGTCAAACAAACAGTTATACTTATATAAATGTGGGCTACATACATTATGTTTATATAAGTACATCACCCAAGGTAACTAGACTATGAGCAGTGTATACAGTAGTCATAATTGTACATGTGACAGTATTTTCCACTGACCTCTCCCGCGCCTTGAATGCTTGGGTCAGCAGTTAAGTAGCCGGCTTCTGGCCAGTCTCTCATCCATGTCAAAAGTGTGTTTAACGAAGCTCATAACGGTGATATCCTAGTTATTGTGCAATAGTTTATTTTCTTAATAAATGGAAAACAGACCATTTGGGTTTGATAACTTAACCCATAAACATTTATTTATGTTACTTGCAGTGTACCATTAATACTGACTCTACAGAATCTTCATCAGTGACTACAACAGGTAAACAGACGATGACAACCACATTTCAGAGCCTCCAACCTGTGCTGAAAGTGTCCACGCTTCTGACCCATACATCAGTCCTTGCCATATAAAGCCTCTCAGCAGCCTCCTTTTCTCAGATTGTGGGTTATTTATTAATCTTTGAGTTCATATCATTCATGTCTATTAGCAAACTCTACCACCGAAGAAAATGGGCAACGATGTAATATTAAAACAGAAAGAAAACGAATATAAAATATTTTTACCCACAACTCTTTTGTTTCATTATTTATATTATATATATATATATATATATATATATATATATATATATATATATATATATATATATATATATATATATATTATTTATTTATTTTTCCTTTACTCCCTAACCTTTTCCGTCTCTCCCCTACCTACAACTCTTCCCTCACCTATCCCTAAATTATGTCCTCCACTTACCTTCCCTCTCTCTCCGTCCCTCCTTCACTCATCTACCTATAACTATTCTCTCCGAAACCCTCCTTGTTTCCCTCACCCTTCCTCCTTCACTATATACCTTTTATCAGCCCTCACCCTCTCCCCTCTTCCTCTCTCCCTTCACTCTCTCGCCCCTTTCACTCTCTCCCCTCTACCACCATCACCCCAGTTACATGTCCCCCTTTGGTTAGAGAGAAAAAAAATAGAATGAAAAAAAAGAAAAGAAAATAAAGTCCTGTATTCGATCGTTTACAGAGGGTGTCAGGCCATGAGGGGTGGAAGGGAACAGCCGACTGGAACACTGCGACAGATTGCTAGTTCCTGGTCGAAATATAAGTTATTATTTTTTCGTCTTCCTCCACTCAGCTAAATGTCGATACACAACAGAGAGAGATTACATACACGAGCCTTTGTTGAAAGACTTCCAAAATGTCTACGTGTTACAAGTCATTCTATACTTGTGGTCTTTCTTTTGTGCATAACAACACAATAGTGAATCTGGCTTATGTATGGATGAATTATTAATGAGTAAATAAATGAATGGATGAATAACCAGCTGCGTGAATTGACACACATATATAAAAAATCTGAATGAACAAAATGTATATACAAGTATACAAAGGAATGGATGTAAAATAAGTACAGTCCACAACATACTGTAACATGCACTCAAGTACATGTATTATCATAAAAATGTACGATAGTCTAACATAGGTATCGCACGAAGGTACATCCCAGAGAGTACACAAACATATCAATGTGAAATTATACGTTCGTTCACCTGCACGTGAGACAACAGACCAGAGGACCTCACGGGGCAGGTTAGGGTGAAAGAGTATACGTCAGGCTCAAGAGTTCATTATAAAAGAGTGCGTAAGATTAAAAGTGCATGAGGTAAAATGTGTGTGAGGCTAAAAGGGTGTGGCGGGGGGAGGGGGGGGTAAAAGAGTGCGTGAGGTCAAGAATGCATCTAGTTAAGAGTATGTCAGGCTCAAGAGTCTATGACACTACGAATGCGATAAAAGTGGAACAGACTGAGAGTGCGACAGACTAAGAGTGCCGCGTGTGTTGACAAAGGTGGGAACTCCGTCAGAGGCACAGCTCATCCTCTGGGCTTAAAAGACTGAAAATAAAAGTCATTGAAGTTATAAAGGAGGAGGAGAAGGAGGAGGAGAATGAACCTTTGTTAGGTTACGTATACAGAAAAAATCTCAAAAAAGTCTCGTACGTTAATTTTTTCTCTTAAGTGGCAATATTATGGACGTATCTAACTAACTCACTCACTTGACTACTGAGGAGGTGTGTGTGTGTGTGTGTGTGTGTGTGTGTGTGTGTGTGTGTGTGTGTGTGTGTGGTCTCCATCGCTGAGGGAGGGTCAAGATGTGGGAGGGGAAGGGGGAAAACCTTACAGGAACTCAGTTAGGGGTAAAGTAATCTGGGGAAGAGCCTTACCACCTGGTCTACCTGCGATTCAATCAGGGTAGCGACACACTGCCTTGCCGCTGACGCCTCTCGGGTGTAGACTAACGCTATAATGTTTAATTTAGTCTTTGCGTTTTACATAATATCGTCACAGGTGGACGTGAAATATATGCAAAACCTCAAGTAAGTTGTACCATTGAACCGTAATGGAAATCCCTTCTGTTTTGTCTTTTCTCTGAAATATCTAAGAATTCCATTAATATTAGTTAATTAATTATTATCTAATCTCTTATAACCTAGTCCAAGCCATGATAATTTTAACATACATAGTTATTATTTATGACAAAATCCATTAAATATACATTAACACTCTACATCAAGTCATCCCATTACATAAAGAATATATTGAGTAAAACTTATACCAGGTAGAACAAATAAGGGTTACCAACGAGAGGATAAACAAAACATAACCAAAAATAAAAAATAAACATGTTAAAAATGACTTCCTTCGTGTGTTGAGGACTTACGCCTGAACTACGAACGATAGCTGATGGAAGGAGAACACTGGAGGTTGTCTTCGCATGTGCTCTTGTAAGTTATTATGTTATTCTCTTTGCTAACAGTGTAACAAAGAGTACTGAGAACATCGCTACATATTCTGATCATCATTTTCAAGTATCAAAGAACACCAAGGGTTTTTTTTCAGTAACACGGAGAGATGATGGACTTTCAGAACATTTTTTACTCCCCTAGCTCATGAATGCATCAATAACATTATTTAGGGAAGCAATCGAGTTCTTTTGTGAATTATTAACGATACTAGGAAATACAATGACCTTGATATTAACGTTGTAATGAAGGTTTGAGTTGTATAGTGTCATGGATGTTAAGAGCAGGAGACGAATTTACTAATGGAACTGAAGGATAGAAT